CCATTACGCAAACTGTCCCTGGATTGCCTCTTTCTGTGCAGGAGAGAAGCCCTTCAAGTGCGAGTTCGAGGGCTGCGAGAGGCGCTTCGCCAACAGCAGCGACAGGAAGAAGCATTCCCACGTGCACACGAGCGACAAGCCCTACAACTGCAAAGTGCGAGGCTGCGACAAGTCGTACACGCACCCCAGCTCCTTGCGGAAGCACATGAAAGTCCACTGCAAGTCCCCTCCTCCCAGCTCGGGCTACGAGTCGTCCACCCCGTCGCTGGTGTCGCCGTCGTCCGACTGCGGCCGGGAGCCTCCTCAGCCGCCGCCGCCGCCGCCGCCGCCGCCTCCGCCTGCAGCAGCGGCGTCTTCCACCCAGGCGGCAGCCAACCTGAGCGAATGGTACGTGTGTCAGAGCTCAGGGGCCAGCGGCATCCCGACTCCACCCAGTAACTCTCCGTCACCTCACCCGGGAGAGGCCGCTTACACAAACTGCGAGCCCCGGCCCACTTATTAAGGTCAATACGGTAGGACAGCCCGCCGCCGCCGCCGCCGCCGCCGCCGCCGCGAGACTGCATTGTTCTTTCCGGGGCGCTCCGGACCCTTGGCTCACCCGGGGCGAAGGACGGGTCGGGAGGCCTGGCTCGCGCGGGAGGGGCGGCATGCGATGCTAGACCTGGGGAGGAGCCCCTCCCCTCCCCCGCCCCCCCGCCCCCAGTCACCTTCGATCAGAGATGCTGCACAGGCCACCGGAGAGAAGATGCACTGTAAAAACACAAGCAAACAAACAGAGCCCACCCCACCCCGCGCCTTCCCTTTTGTATTTATTACGGTGTCAAGCACACAGGACGGCAACCCCCTTCTTTCCATGATCTCCTATTATTATTAATTATTATTGTTGTTATTTTTCACCATAGTCCTAGACTTCTCGGACCGTCTACGCCCCATTTGTTTACAAAGGCCTCATCTGAACCGAAACATCCTTTTGTATCAATAAACCAAAGTGTTTTAATACGGATTTCTAGCTGCTGTACAGCTGCGATCGATTGTTGGTGCTGGTACCTTGTGATGGTGTTTTACTTGGGGCGATTCTGCTGCTCCAGTGTTTTAATTTTTATTATTATTTCTGGAGGGCTGTGTCTCTCTCTCTGTGTGTATTTGCTTTTTAAAAAGAGGAATATCAGTATCTCTAAATATATTATTTGTTAATCAACTGTACACCAAGCAGTCCATTAAATGTTTTGATTAATTTACCCGTTCAGTTGACATTTTTGGAATGAATCTCTTTACTGCCCTTATTTCACCAACATATTCTTCCCACTTGCCACTAATAAAACAGGCCCATGGGTGGCTTAATGATTTATGGTACATTTTAATTTCCACTAGTAATGGATTTAAATGCATAAACATATTCTCCTTTTCTCTCCCCTCCCCGACTTATTTCTGTTGAATTGTGAGTTCTTGTGATTCCTTAGTGGATGGAAGGTGAAATCCATGTTAATTGGAGAGGGAGGGGGGTTGTTATGAGTGACGTCATTGTACTGAGTTGCTTGGATTGTCCGAAAGGATTCATGATGTGTAGATTTCTCTGAACCGATGGTGTAAATCCAGTGGCAGTCTTGTTTTCAAACGCACAACAGTGGTTATGTAAAATAATAATTTGAGCTTTTTTTGTAACAGCAAAATAAAATGGTTTTAAAATCTTGAACATATCTAGAGGTCTGTAAAGTGATGGTTCTTATCAAGACTCCCTGACGAGTCCCTAGATGAGAAAGAACTAGGGGGGAAAGCATTCCAGTTTGACAAGAAAGAACCAGGCATTTTATATGGGGCTCAGTTACCTATGTCAAGCCCTATGCCTGACGTAATTTGTAGCAAGTGAGATGATATTTCAGTGAGATGTACTTAGAGACAGGGTATTTAGGATTTGGGGTTGATTCTGATTGATGCTATAAGGACAGTGCAATCAGGCAAATGACTTGGTTATCTGAAGACACACTGACAAACGCTTTCTAGTTTGCATTCTTTCCCACATATTTCCTCCAAGGCTAGTTCCTTTCATTCACTAGAGAGTGATGCAAAAACCCACCCCAGCTCAGGGCATTTGAATACAAAACCAACAACAGAAAAGCAGGTGTTTTGCCATTGTTGTGGTGCAACACAGTAAGACCAACTAAGTCTATTTAATAGGACGTCCAACATCAGTAGGGACACCATGGTACTTAAATTCAGCTGGACTTTTGCTGTCACTCCACTTTTTACATTCCTGTGGAAAAAAGTTACCTGTCTGGTCCTATGCTCTTGAATAGTTGAGCTGGGGACAAGATGGGTTGTGATTCTTCAATCCTGAACAGCAAGATTGCCTCCTTAACTGTGATCTTAGGCATGTCTACTCAGAAGTAAGTCCCACTGAGTTCAGTGGGACTTACTTCCAGGTAAGGAGCTGTAGGATTGAAATAGAACCAATAACATCCCGTCCTAATTATCAGAAAGAAAAAGAACTAAAGGAGAATTTCTGTTTTGTTTTGTTTTTCTTCCTTTCTTTGTTTAACCCGTCTGAACTAGTGAAGGCGACAGCGAGAAAATACGAAGGTATGGAGGCCATCTGAAAGAGGAGAAGATGTTTCCACCTTGTTTGGAGCTGGACTCCCCTCCTCCCTACTCAGTCCCCCCCCCCCCCCACTCCTTTTCTTCTTGATTTCTTTCTTTGCAGAAGCGGTTTTGGGATGTGTAGGCTAATCACCTTTAATTTTTCATTTGCTTGTTACAGATGTCTATCCCGTTGCTCTCAAGGTAATCTAGACAGAGGCAGCTGAAAAGCCCCGCATCTTATGCTTAGACATCAAAGCAGGCTCTCACAATGAAAGTATTTCTTCGCAACGGTGAATCTTCATGGTGAGTTAAGATTTCTATAGCAATAGGCAAGTCATACTTTAAAAGAGTGAAAAGCGAAGTCTGGAGCCAGTCCAGTCTTTTCACGAAGGACATACTATTTAGGTCTAACAGATTCTTTCCCCCACCTCCCCGCAACCCCCTACCCCCAACTCTGCTTTCTTTTAAAGCCCGCTCCCCGAGATGTGCGTGCGTGTGTCTGTGCATTTCTGTGCGTGCGTGCGTACGTGCACGTGTGTGCGCGCGCGCGTGTATGTGCGTGTGCGTGTGCATATGGAAAGCTGTGTTCGTGGTGGACGTGGGGCCTGCATCACTTTCCCTCGAATTTCCGGGACAAGAAACCCCACGCGAATGGGGGCCCTTGTTCCAGCCAATAATCAGAATGGATAAGAATGTCAGGAAGAAAAATGGGGCCGCTTCAATCGCCGCCCGTCAGTCCACTTTTGTCTCTCTTCTTTCGGGCCCTGATCAGAGACGGCCTTTGGGATTTGATGGCGACTTTTCTAAAGGCGAGGAAATGGGTTTGAAGGAGGGAAAAGAAAAGGAGAAAGGTCTAATCAAGCCCGGCCTTGTTCAAAGGCTCTGATTTGGGGCGGGGGGCGGGGGCGGGGGCGAAAGTGTGAGCTTTATGGTGCATCAACATGCCACGTTAGGATCGCTATGGTAATGAGCGGAGCAGTAGCAAAGCCCCTGAAAGGGCGGCACACTCCATTCGAGACAGTCTATTAAGATACATTTGCGCTGACCTTTGGTTTCATGCCAGCTTAATACATTCAATCTGCTCTTCCTCCGAGATGGACTTCCTCCATCTCGCCCCCTTTGCCTTGCTCTGCTGGCTCGCCCTCTAAGGAGCGCTTTTGTTGCAGAGTCTCTGGGCCGCTGCGCTCAAGAGCGCGGAGGGGGCGGGAGCGGCTGGGCAGGGAGGCTACCAGTGTTGAGCGAAACCTTTGCACCCACGGGAATCCATGGAATCGCTTCCAAGCCAGTGCGCTGGAAGTGCGAGCGGTAACTCTGCGGTACTCGGGCGCCCACTCTGCCCAAAGAGCCCCGACTGACTGGAGTGGGACTGCTCGCGAGCAAGGAAAGGTGGCTTCCCGGCTGAACGACGCTGCTGTTTGCTCGTGAACTCATGGAGCTCTTTTCTCTCCCCGCTCCACCTTCCGCCTTTCCCCTAGCACCTACTCCAAGTATCGCCGGGTCTGTAGCTGTGTGTAACGGTCTTATCGTGCAGGTATTCGAATCTGTTGGTCTTTGTTTTGTCAGTGATGCTTCGACATTTTTGTGTTTTGACACCCATTAGCTCTAGGTTCGAGCTCCTAACAGAATGCACTGCTGCTCGGTTGTTTCCACACTATTCGTTCCTGAATGCCTACACGGATATATAGGTATTTTTCTATGAGCAGGTATCAAAGTATATGACACAACCTTGCTGAAGTAAGAGGATGAAATAGAAAGGGGTGTCACATTTGTCTGAGGAGCTTTACGGATGAGGGAAGTCTGATCCCTCGAATTTAGTTGACCGTGCCCAGAAACAAACAAACCAGAACTAGAGCATAGATGTGAGGCAACCCCTTTATTCCCACTTGTATCCAGGGTTAGCCTCTCTTAAATCACACACATTTCAATGCGTCTACTCTAAGTAAGTCTAACATTGGACACAATCCTGTCTCACCCCCTCACACAGAACCAGGGTTTGATGCCTTCCAGGGCCTCAGAACTTGACATTCCCAGGTCTGAGGCCACAGGCCTGGTCATGGTCCCACGAAAGTTAGAAGTCCATGTTCCAGTAATTGTCGTCTTGTTTATTTTATCCAAGTACCCCAGTGAATAGGGGAAAAATAAACATGCTGAACAAAAAAATTCAAACAGTCGAGTCATCTTTAGTGCTAGCCCTTGTGCTTGAATAAAAAAGGATGGTCCAATTTCTATTGAGCTGAGAAATCTTTGAAGTGGGAGTTATTATCTGAGAAATTCCTCTTCGTCACCCTAACAACGCTGATGAAACGTAAAAAGCTTCTTTGTCGGCGATTTGTTCTCCCCTCTGTCAAATTCCCTCTGCCCTGTTAGCTGGGACCATTTCTAAAGAGAGGAACCAAATTTCTTAAAAGATAACGTTGGGATGGCGACAGAAAACATCCCAGTATACAGTCAGATACCTGTGTCTACCTACATCTGCCTGTCTGTGTCTGACTCTCTGAAGGTGGAGGGGGCGTTTGGATCTAGAATGAGGAAGGTGAGAGGAGGGGGGAGAATTCCCTTTGCCCCTCCAAACTTCCCCACTCTAAACAAAGTGATCTGCTAGACCTTCCTTTCTAAACTGAATTGTTTTAATTCTGTCCAAGCCATTGTTTTCTTCACAGAATCCAAATTCTTGCAACAGCATTACCCATTAGGACCAAGTCTGTGACCGCTGTGTCTCCCCACCATCCCACTCTAGTGTAATGAATCCAACCACTCACACAAGACTTTACCCAGATTCATGGTGTTAATGCTGGAACTACCTATTAAAAGCATGTTTCTCTACTGCAATGCACGAAAGTGGTGAAGCCTTGAAAGTGATGGCTTCCATATGCTGCAATGTTTTATTGTCAATGAGTGGAAAGAAAAGTAACACCCCACATGGTA